GCTACCTATCGGCTCCATTCGGGAGCTTACTACCTGCATTGGTAGAAATAAAAAATGAGAAAAACAACTAGTGCATAAACTAATGGTTAAATGTCTCCTGCCAGATAGGGTTCGGCCAATTGTTTGTTTTTAGTACAAATTACGGGATTTGGATTATCTTCTAACGGATGAATATCCATATTCAATACATCAGTGCTAATTTTTAACATTTAACATTTGACTCATGTCCCTGTAAGAATGACAATCTAAGCTAATATCGGTATTCCCCCAACCCAAAATAGAATATTTTTCTTAAATAACTGATAACTTAGTGTGGAATGGCGTTACACACATGACTCCTTCATAGTTAAAAACATTAATCCCAAATACTCCAGTATATTTTACCAGCACATTTAACGAGTTTCCTATTTTTAGAACTTCTCTCCTGTAACAATCAAGTCAGGTTCGAACTGAGTTATCTCGTAGAAAAACGGTTTATATTGCGTCTAATTTTTACTCCATATTTTTGTAAATTCCACCAAAAAAAATTGAATAAATAAATAAATTAGATTTTTATGACTTCGTGATCTAAATGATCGGGCAGTAACCAGCCCATCAATCTTATCGAAGAATAAGGTCGTTAGGATGAAGGTGACCCTGAAGTAGAAATTTATCAGCACCACTTTTTCATCAACTTGAAATTTCGCATGAAACTTTCGATTGACGAGGAGATATATAAAAATGAGATAAAAAAAGTAATTCTCGAAGTAAATACAGACGAATCTTATACTGTCAAACAATACGGATATTCATTTAAGAACTAATGATGACCAAGAATTGTTGAAATTCTTTTTTCCTTCCCCTTATATGATCTTTACAATTTTATCAAATTAATCAGTACTTCAAAATAATTTCTTTAATTCTGATTTTTTTACTGCTTCCAGGATTGTAGACAAAAATTCCAAGGTGGTTCATTTTTTGACCATGAAGGTCTTCCTTACTGTGAAACTCACTACCACGCAAAGCGAGGATCTCTCTGTGCTGGATGTCATAAACCAATTACAGGTAGCTAACTAATCATGAAATTGATGAGTACTTTAATTAGGAAATATCGTGTTTTTATACTTTTATGTGAAAATGTCTTCCTGAATTGATTCTGAAATTTCTGCGATTCGTATTTGTCAACCCATATTATATATTCCTTATCATGAAAGCAGAGATACGTAA